ACACAACACACACAACACACACAACACACAGTATTACATACACACAGTACTACACACAACACACACACACAACACACACACACAACACAGTATTACACATACACTACTATACACACACACAACACACAGTATTACACACAACACACACATCACACAGGAGTGAGGGACCTCGCCCCTGGGGCCCTCGCTCCCGGCCCTTGATCCTCACCCCTGGCTCCTAACCCCCGACCCCTGGCTCCTCACCCTGCGAGCCACTCACCCCGCGAGCCACTCACCCCGTGAGCCACTCACCCCGTGAGCCACTCACCCCGTGAGCCACTCACCCCGTGAGCCACTCACCCCGTGAGCCACTCACCCCGTGAGCCACTCACCCCGTGAGCAACTCACCCCCTGGGCTACTCACCCTGTGAGCCACTCACCCTGTGAGCCACTCACCCTGTGAGCCACTCACCCTGTGAGCCACTCACCCTGTGAGCCACTCACCCTGTGAGCCACTCACCCTGTGAGCCACTCACCCTGTGAGCCACTCACCCTGTGAGCCACTCACCCTGTGAGCCACTCACCCTGTGAGCCACTCACCCTGTGAGCCACTCACCCTGTGAGCCACTCACCCTGTGAGCCACTCACCCTGTGAGAAACTCACCCTGTGAGCCACTCACCCTGTGAGCAACTCACCCTGTGAGCCACTCACCCTGTGAGCCACTCACCCTGTGAGCCACTCACCCTGTGAGCCACTCACACCCTGGGCTACTCACCCTGTGAGCCACTCACCCTGTGAGCCACTCACCCCCTGGGCTACTCACCCTGTGAGCCACTCACCCTGTGAGCCACTCACCATGTGAGCTACTCACCCTGTGAGCCACTCACCCCCTGGGCTACTCACCCCGTGAGCCACTCACCCCGTGAGCCACTCACCCCGTGAGCCACTCACCCCGTGAGCCACTCACCCCGTGAGCCACTCACCCCGTGAGCCACTCACCCCGTGAGCCACTCACCCCGTGAGCCACTCACCCCGTGAGCCACTCACCCCGTGAGCCACTCACCCCCGTGAGCCACTCACCCCGTGAGCCACTCACCCGTGAGCCACTCACCCCGTGAGCCACTCACCCCGTGAGCCACTCACCCCGTGAGCCACTCACCCCGTGAGCCACTCACCCCGTGAGCCACTCACCCCGTGAGCCACTCACCCCGTGAGCCACTCACCCGTGAGCCACTCACCCCGTGAGCCACTCACCCCGTGAGCCACTCACCCCGTGAGCCACTCACCCCGTGAGCCACTCACCCCGTGAGCCACTCACCCTGTGAGCCACTCACCCTGTGAGCCACTCACCCTGTGAGCCACTCACCCCGTGAGCCACTCACCCCTCCCCACTCACCCCGTGAGCCACTCACCCCGTGAGCCACTCACCCTGTGAGCCACTCACCCCGTGAGCCACTCACCCCGTGAGCCACTCACCCCGTGAGCCACTCACCCCGTGAGCCACTCACCCCGTGAGCCACTCACCCCGTGAGCCACTCACCCCGTGAGCCACTCACCCCGTGAGCCACTCACCCCCTGGGCCACTCACCCCCTGGGCCACTCACCCCGTGAGCCACTCACCCCGTGAGCCACTCACCCCGTGAGCCACTCACCCTGTGAGCCACTCACCCTGTGAGCCACTCACCCTGTGAGCCACTCACCCCGTGAGCCACTCACCCTGTGAGCTACTCACCCCCTCCCCACTCACCCTGTGAGCCACTCACCCTGTGAGCCACTCACCCCGTGAGCCACTCACCCCGTGAGCCACTCACCCCGTGAGCCACTCACCCCGTGAGCCACTCACCCCGTGAGCCACTCACCCCGTGAGCCACTCACCCCGTGAGCCACTCACCCCGTGAGCCACTCACCCCGTGAGCCACTCACCCTGTGAGCACTCACCCCCCTCCCCACTCACCCTGTGAGCCACTCACCCTGTGAGCCACTCACCCTGTGAGCACTCACCCCCCTCCCCACTCACCCTGTGAGCCACTCACCCTGTGAGCACTCACCCCCCTCCCCACTCACCCTGTGAGCCACTCACCCTGTGAGCCACTCACCCTGTGAGCCACTCACCCTGTGAGCCACTCACCCCCTGGGCTACTCACCCTGTGAGCCACTCACCCCCTGGGCTACTCACCCCGTGAGCCACTCACCCCCTCCCCACTCACCCTGTGAGCCACTCACCCCCTCCCCACTCACCCTGTGAGCCACTCACCCCCTCCCCACTCACCCTGTGAGCTACTCACCCCCTCCCCACTCACCCCGTGAGCCACTCACCCTGTGAGCGCGCCGTGGCAGGGTGATGCGCTCCCCGCGGAATGAGCTCAGGGCGAGCTCCGGCTCCTCCTCGGGCTGCTCCTCGTCGCCACGATCCACCTCGCTCATCGCTCGCGGAGACGCGGGGGGAGACCTGGGACCTGGGGGAGACACGGGGGGGGGAGACACGGGGTCTGGGGGAGACGCGGGGGGAGACACGGGGTCTGGGGGAGACGCGGGGGGAGACCTGGGACCTGGGGGAGACACGGGGGGGGGGAGACACAGGGTCTGGGGGAGACGCGGGGGGAGACCTGGGACCTGGAGGAGACACGGGGGGGGGGGAGACACGGGGTCTGGGGGAGACGCGGGGGGAGACACGGGGTCTGGGGGAGACACGGGGGGAGACCTGGGACCTGGAGGAGACACGGGGGGGGGGGAGACACGGGGTCTGGGGGAGACGCGGGGGAGACACGGGGTCTGGGGGAGACGCGGGGGGAGACCTGGGACCTGGGGGAGACACGGGGGGGGGGAGACACAGGGTCTGGGGGAGACGCGGGGGGAGACCTGGGACCTGGAGGAGACACGGGGGGGGGGGAGACACGGGGTCTGGGGGAGACACGGGGTCTGGGGGAGACACGGGGTCTGTGGGAGACACGGGGGGAGACACGGGGGGGGTCTGTGGGAGACACGGAGAGAGACACGGGGTCTGTGGGAGACACGGGGGGAGACACGGGGGGGTCTGTGGGAGACACGGAGAGAGACGCGGGGTCTGTGGGAGACGCGGGGGGAGACGCGGGGGGGTCTGCGGGAGACACGGGGGAGCCAAGTTCAGCCACTCGGAGGGGGCGAGGGGACTCAATGGGGAGCGACTCACAACAGAGACTGGGAGCGACTCGGAACGACTCAGAGGGACTCACAGGGAACGACTCGGAGGGAACGACTCGGAGGGAACGACTCGGAGGGACTCACAGGGAACAACTCGGAGGGAACGACTCACAGGGACTGAGGGAACGACTCAGAGGGAACGACTCAGAGGGAACGACTCACAGAGACTCGGAACGACTCACAGGGAACGACTCAGGGGGACTCAGGGACTGAGGGAACGACTCTGAGGGAACGACTCAGAGGGAACGACTCACAGAGACTCGGAACGACTCAGAGGGAACGACTCAGAGGGAACGACTCAGAGGGAACGACTCACAGAGACTCGGAACGACTCAGAGGGAACGACTCACAGGGAACGACTCACGCGGTCCTTCTCGGCGCTTCACAATTCCCAGTTCGCATGCGCCGCGGCTGCCTCAATGAGGCGGCGACGTCCGCACCGATTGGTTGAGGCGGGGCACGTGACCCGGGGCTGCTGACCAATCGCGTGCGCCGCAGCGGCTGACCAATCGGATGCGCCGCTCCCGGAGAGTGGGCGGGGCTTATTGGGGTGGGGGGGGGGCGCGCGCCGCTTCTGACAACTACGGGTGGCGAGAGGCAGCACGTGAAGGCGTGGCGCGTGCGGACTACGAATTACGAATCGCGCCGCTTATCCAGACTGGGGATTCTAAAAAGCGTTTTTTAATTATTATTATTACTTCAGAGTCTGGATATTGATTGAATCGATGTAAAGCTTCTTTCGTGACTGCAGCAGGGATTCATCTTCTTGGTTCTTTCGGTAAAGTCACCACGTAGAAGGGAAGTAATAAAATAATAAAAATAAAACTTAATATAATAATTCTCACGACGTTTCGGCAGCTTGCGTTGTGGCCGAAACGTCGTGAGAATTGTATTTAATTATGTTTTATTTTATTATTTTATTACTTCCCTTCTACGTGGTGACTTTACCGAAAGAACCAAGAATATAGTCTTCTTATTATGTTTAATTTTTATTATTGTATTATTTCCCTTCTACGTGGTGACTTTACCGAAAGAACCAATAATATAGTCTTCTTATTATGTTTTATTTTTATTATTTTATAATAAAATTACTCTTATGATTTTTTATTATTATTTTATCATAAAATAACTCTTATTATGTTTTATTTTTATTATTTTATTATTTCCCTTCTACGTGGTGACTTTACCGAAAGAACCAATAATATAGTCTTCTTATTATGTTTTATTTTTATCATTTTATTAATTCCCTTCTACGTGGTGACTTTACCGAAAGAACCAAGAATATATTCTTCTTATTATGTTTTATTTTTATTATTTTATTATTTCCCTTCTACGTGGTGACTTTACCGAAAGAACCAAGAAGATGATTGAATCGTGTTGGACGGGGGAATCAGATGAGCTATGAAGCTCTTTCACACACACACACGTTCAAGAGGGGAACGTTACCACGATAAACGTCACAAAAAAAATTTACGAAATCAGTGAAAAGTAATGGAAATGTAAATAAATCACGTTACCAAAACATTAAACAAATAAAACTAAACTCTCAGTATTGTACAACTCAAACAAGTAAACCCGTAAAAACAAAGTTTTTCACTCTAAATCCTTTATATGCGTGGCGGCTAGAGTCCTCTCGTCCGCTGGCTTGAGATGGCTGCCACCTGTGGGTCAGATGATTGCATGGCACTATTAAGCAATTGGTAATTAAATATTTAAAAAAAATTCCCTAAAAGTGTAAAAATTTTGGAAAAAAAATTTCACGAAAATAAATTGTCTCGCACAACGAGTCTGTGTGCAAAATGTCAGCTCGATTGGATCACGGGAAGTGGGTTTATAAAACGACCGAAAGATTTGCACGGTCGCAAGCGCGCAAGCAAGCGAACTTAATATAAAGGATTTAAAAACAGTGCATATCATTACCATCATCAGAGTTGTTTCTTTTTGTTTGCATTGTGACTGCTTGTGTTGTGGTTATTGTAAACATGATGCCTTGTATAAAGGTCGATTTGAAGCTTTCGTGACTGCAGGGATTCATCTTCTTGGTTCTTTCGGTAAAGTCACGTAGAAAGGAAGTAATAAAATAATAAAAACAAAACATAATAAGAGTTATTTTATGATAAAATAATAAAAAAAATCATAAGAGTAATTTTATTATAAAATAATAAAAACAAAACATAATAATAAGAATTATTTTATTATGTTTTATTTTTATTATTTTATTACTTCCCTTCTACGTGACTTTACCGAAAGAACCACGAAGTTGTCAGTTTTGTACCAGTTGAAAGGGTAAAAACGTACTACTATATTTTGCCACTGGTAAAGGAGATGTCTCATAGTGAACATCTCTCAGTATTTATTTTTATTTCTTGCCAGGCAAGGGCCCACCACTGAGCGTTGGAGCTTTTTAAATCCTTTATATTAAGTTCACTTGCTTGCTTGCTTACGACCGTGCAAATCTTTCGGTCGTTTTTTAACCCACTTCCCGTGATCCAATCGAGCTGACATTTTGCACACAGACTCGTTGTGCGAGACAATTAATTTTCGTGAAAAAAAATTCCCAAAATTTTACACTTTTTAGGGAATTTTTTTAAAATATTTAATTACCAATTGCTTAATGGTGGCAGGCAATCATCTGACCCATAGGTGGCAGCCATCTCAAGCCAGAGGACGAGAGGACTCTAGCCGCCCGTTTCATGATGACGCAAATGTTGACTAACCACATGGCATGAAATCCCTGCCCCCACGCTGCACAATGGAGACTATTTATAGAGAAGCTACATTGAAGCCGCCAGGTTCTTGAAAGTGGTAAAACGGGTCAACGCTAGTGCCCTCGGGAATATACGGGGCATGTCAAGAGATGATCTTTCATTTTTATTTAAATCCTTTATATTAACTTCACTTCGCTTGCTTGCTTACTCAAGAAAAACAGGAATGAATAATGAAATGAAACCGATGCCACGCATATAAAGGATTTATAGTGAAAAACTTTGTTTTTACGGGTTAATAATTTTTTCTTGCAGTGGCGACCTGGCTGCCACAAATGATCGAGGCGCTACGAAGTATCTCATCATCATCATCGTCATCACGTGACAATTTGTAGCAGCAAATGCATCTAAACTCGTCTTCCTTCTCAACGTGGAAGGGGGGAAAAAAATCGGAGGACTTCAAGAAAAATCCACGCGACCATCCAATCAATCTCAGCGCCGCACGTTTATAGTATCAACACATTGTCCTGCTGCGGAGGGAGCTGGTAGGAACGTTGTTGGGTTGCTCGGTCAATGGCCTGCAGGGTCAACGGCGGCGTGGGGTATTCCGCAAATATGGCCGACTGTGAGGGCGGGCACAAGCCGGCGTGAGTAGGTGAAACGTTGAGTTTTATAAGGGCACCACGGGGTGACCAGCCCCTCCCCACCCAGCCCCTCTCTACCCAGCCCCACCCAGCCCCTCCCCTCCCACCCCCCACCCAGCCCCTCCCCACCCAGCCCCACCCAGCCCCTCCCCTCCCACCCCCCACCCAGCCCCTCCCCACCCAGCCCCTCCCCACCCACCCAGCCCCTCCACACCCTCCCCACCCAGCCCCTCCCTCCCCACCCAGCCCCACCTAGCCCCACCCAGCCCCTCCCCACCCTCCCTCCCCACCCAGCCCCTCCCCACCCTCCCCACCCCACCCAGCCCCTCCCCACCCAGCCCCTCCCCACCCTCCCCTCTCCACCCTCCCCACCCAGCCCCTCCCCACCCCACCCAGCCCCTCCCTCCCCACCCTCCCCTCTCCACCCAGCCCCTCCCCACCCTCTCCACCCTCCCCACCCAGCCCCTCCCTCTCCACCCAGCCCCTCCCTCCCCACCTAGCCCCTCCCCACCCTCCCATCTCCACCCAGCCCCACCCCTCCCACCCCCCACCCTCCCCTCCCCATGTGCACGACAGACAAATAATCCCTGGTGGGCAGTGTGGAACCTGTTGTTCCGACGTGTGTAAATGTGTGAAATATTTCTCGTTGGTGTGTTCAGCCCAGAAGATGAACACAAAATTTTGCAGTCTTTTTAAATCCTTTATATTAAGTTCGCGTGCTTGCTTGCTTGCTTAGGACCGTGCAAATCTTTCGGTCGTTTTTTAACCCACTTCCCGTGATCCAATCGAGCTGACATTTTGCACACAGACTCGTTGTGCCAGACAATTATTGTTCGTGAAAAAAAATTCCCAAAATTTTACACTTTTTAGGCAAAAAAAAATGATTTTACATATATTCAAATAGAACGCATTCATGGCTTTGGCTGAACGTCACAGTGTAAGAGCCCAGAGCGTAACCCCTCCGCAGGCCGTGGCGGAGTAGCGCAGTTGGTAGCGCCCTCGCTTCCCATGCCAAAGGTCGCGCGATCGATCCCCGCGTCCTCCACAGGCGAATATATTTTTAAATCCTTTATATTAAGTTCGCCGCCACGCATATAAAGGATTTATAGTGAAAAACTTTGTTTTTACGGGTTTACTTGTTAAATACGTGTTGAACCACGGTTAGTGTCTAACTGTGTTGTTGGCCGACTGGTTTGCATCGCGTTATGTTTCTAAGGTTCGATAATTGTTTTTACCCTTTTATCTGGCAACAAAACTGACACCTTTTTTACGAGGAGTCATGTTTGCATTGACCACAATACCTGCGGTCGGAATGCAAACAAAAAACACACAGCTCTGATAATATATGCACTGTCCTTGAAATTGATTGGTCCACACCCGAGACAGCTTTTCTTAGAGCCTCATTAAAAGGCAACCTTTTGGCGTCATCTGGTCCAACACCAGGGTGAGATGAGGGAGTGGCTGGGTGGGGAGGGTGGGGAAGGGCTGGGTGGGGAGGGTGGGGAGGGTGGGGCTGGGTGGGGGGTGGGGAGGGTGGGGCTGGGTGGGGGGTGGGAGAGGTGGGGATGGGTGGGGAGGGGCTGGGTGGGGAGGGGCTGGGTGGGGAGGGGAGGGTGTGGTGGGGAGTGTGGGGCTGGGTGGGGAGGGGCTGGTCACCCCGTGGTGCCCTTATAAAACTCAACGTTTCACCTACTCACGCCGGCTTTTGCCCGCCCTCACAGTCGGCCATATTTGCGGAATACCCCACGCCGCCGTTGACCCTGCAGGCCATTGACCGAGCTAGCCAACGTTCCTACCAGCTCCCTCCGCAGGAATGTGTTCCTTATTCTTGGTTCTTTCTGTAAATTCACGTAGAAGGGAAATAATAAATTATAATGAATTCCCTTCTCCGTGACTTTACCGAAAGAACCAAGAATATGAATCCCTGCGCTCACGAAAGCTTTAAATCGAAATCATAATCATTAAAATTGTAATTTTTTCTTCACATTCTTTGCATGGCATTACCTTCTATAGGTGCTGCGTATACGCTTTTTGTTTTTAAATGTGTTTAATATTTGCTAAATTTCCATGAATAAGCATTGCAAACGAACACTAATAAGTGTC